ATAGGATAGGATAGGATAGGATAGGATAGGATAGGATAGGATAGGATAGGATAGGATAGGATAGGATAGAAGCCAGAATAAATAGGATAGGATAGGATAGGATAGGATAAGATAGGATAGGATAGGATAGAACAGAATAGAATAGAATAAGAAAGAATGGAGTGGAATGGAATGGAATAAGGAAAGAATAGAATGAAATAGAATAAAATTCTTCATTGGCCAAGGGTGTGACTGGACACACAAGGAATTTGTCCTGCTCCAGGTGAATTGAATGCCGCAGCCATTTGGGTTTACGGAAGCTGCAGTGCAACAGGTCTCTAGGATAACAGCTTGGAGGCCGCTGGGAAAGTAAGGCAAGACGGGAAGGGAATACGAGAAGATCTGGGCTCGGTTATCGGCTGTCGTTTCCTTTGTTCTCCCCTGGATTTATGTCCACTGTAAAGTCCTTAAGCCTCCCATGAATGCCAGTGTCCTCCGACTCACACGGGCTCCCCAAGAGGAAGAGAGGATAGCCCCAGACTTACTTGGACTTATTGAGGCTGGCTTCCGCAGCTGCTGCCTGTAGCAGTTGTGTCGATTTACTGGCTGGGACCCCGAAGACGGTGCTGTGGGTCACATCACTGAGAATCCTCCGGTGTCCACCTCGCTGAGTCTTGGGGGACGATGGTGGCGTGAGGGACCCCACCTTCTGGCCCTGGACAGCTGATGGCGGAGTGGTTGATTTCTTTTGTTGCCTTGGAGGTGCTTGCTTTTAGGAAAACAAAACGGGGAAACAGGGATAAGAAAGAAAGAAAGAAAGAAAGAAAGAAAGAAAGAAAGAAAGAAAGAAAGAAAGAAAGAAAGATGGCAGCTATTCAGAAACTTCTGCAGTAGAGAATTCTTTATGAACAGCACATCAAAACAATTTAACAGAAACGAAAATGCAACCAAGCAGGATTGCATCACAGAACATCAGATGATTTGGTTATTCCATCACCTCCTGCAGGCAAAATGTCGGTCTGTGCGGAGGCCCACATGCACACGTGCTTAGAGAGCTATACACACAGAATTTCCCTCCCTGTATGGAAGGCGACAGAGGCCAAAACTCACCAACAAAACGATACCCCTAAATAAGATTAACCTAATTTCTACTGCATTTCCAAATGAGGGACCCCTTCAAAGAAGGTGGAAAGGAGCCCCCCCCGCCCCCCCGTCTCTGTGAAAACAGAAAAGCCAGAAGATTCCCACCATATCCTCGAACTGCTGTAAGTCTCTTTTCTTGCCTATTTTCTAGCCACAGCAAAAGTCTTAGCCTGATGAACCAGATTTTCATTTCTTTTTGGATCAACCTGGGTCATTTCCCACCCAGCCTCAGCTAAATTTTCACAGGTAACTTATGATGCTATTCAGATGGAGGAAGTGGCCAAATTATCAGCTGATGGATGGCAAACCCTTTGCGTCCTGGCTCGCTGCAAGACTCCAGACAGTTCGCAGTTCATAAAACGTCATAAAAACCAGCGTTACAAGACACAAAAATGCCACTAAACATTCAATTAAAACCATAAAAGCAAACAGAATGAAAATGGGATGCTTCAAGCCCAACAGAAGAGGCAGCCCGAGATCCGTCACTCAGTTCCCCAAAGGCCGGTGAGCGAAGATCGTCTTCAACTCCCGACATGCTGGCTGGGGAAATCTGAGAGTTGAGGTTCTTGTTCTCTCTCTCTCTCTCTCTCTCTCTCTCCTTCCGTTCTTTCTCTTTCTCTCTCTTTCTTCTCTCTCTCCTTTTCTCCCTTTCTCTCTCCCTTTTTCTCTCTACTTCTCTTTCCTCTCTCCCTTTCTCTCTCCTTTCTCTCTTTCCCTCTCTCTATTCTTTCTCCTTTTCTCTCTCCCTCTTTCTCTCCCTTTCTTTCTCCCTTTTTCTCTCTCCCTCTTTCCTCTCTC